AAAAAAAAAAAAAAAAAGACAAAAAGGAAAAAAAAGAATAGTATACTATAAGAGAGATATAACTGTAAGTTTAATGGTCATCATAAGGCCTACACGCATATCAAAGGGCTGACGCTATGTCATTTGGCAGTATGATCCAACCTGCCCCTAGGGATTTCCACTGTGGCCCAGGGAATTCCAGGAGACAAGGCCACCTCAGTGCAGTTGCAACTTTTTTTTTTTTCCTTTTCTTTCTTTTTTTTGTCTTTTTTTGTGACCGGTAACGGGATCGCAACCCTCAGTGTCGCACCCATACCGCGACCAGCAATGGGATTGCAACGCTTGGTGTCGCACCCACACCACGCTCAACCAGTGAGCGGACCAGTCTGTATATGGGATCCGAACCCTCGGCGGGAGCGCTGCCGTGCTCCCAGGCGCCGCACTCTACCAAGTGCACCACCGGGCCGGCCCAGCAACTTTTAAAGCCTTAAGACAAAGCTTACTCTAACAAGGCTGCTGTGTAATCTCTTCCACTTGTAATGTCTGAGTTAGCGGATCCAATGATGGTTGAGGTGTCAGTGGCAGATAGGGATTCTGTTTGGAACTTTTGATAGGGCCCTACAGGTGAATCACAGTGTAAGTCCATAGGGTTTGGGAGCATTGCTTATTTGTCCTCTGTGGATAAGTACTCTCCTTATGAGAAACAACTTTCATCTGCTTCGGAGACTTCGTGGAGGCTGAGCACTTAACCATGGGCCCCCAAGTTGCCACACAACACATGCTGCTTATTATGAACTCTGTGTGTTATCTGACACCCCAAGAGAGAAAGGTGGGAATGCACAACATCGCTCCATCATCTAAGGGAAGTGGTATGTGAGATCCTGACCAAGCAGTTCCTGAAGATGTAAATTACAAGAGGAGGCCCAATGCCTGTGGTTCCCATTCCTGCTTCACTGCCTTCCTACTCCCAGCTTTCACCTGTAGCCTCATTGGGAGTTTCTTTTTTTGGGGGGGGCGGAGTTTTCTTAATGTCAGTCAACACATGAAGACTCCAGCCTGGTTTACAGAATGTTCTGATGATCTATGGGCACCACCTGAAAGTGGACAGCTGCAGCACAACAACCTCTTCCTGGGACATTCCAGTTGGTGAAGGGAACTCTTCCAAGTGGGCATTATTTAGAGCAGTGCATCTGGTTGTCCATTACTTGGAAAGAGGAATGGCCAGATATGCTATTATGTACCAGTTTGTGGGCTGTGACCACTGGTATGGTGGGATGGTTAGGTACTAGAACATGACTGGAAAATTGTGATAAGAAAGTCTGGAAGAATTATGTGGATAGACCCTTTTGACTGGATGCAAAATGTGAAGATATTTGTGTCCCATGTAAATGCTCACTAAAGGATGGCCTCAATAGAGGAGGATTGTAATAATCAAGTAATTAGAATGACCTATTCCACAGATATCAGTTAGCCTCTTTGCCCAGCTACTCTTGTCATTGCCCACTGGGCTCATGGTCAAGTGACTATGGTGGCAGGAATGGAGATTTTGCATGGGCTCAGCAACATGTACTTCCACTGGCCAAGTGTGACCTGCATACAGCCACTTCTGAGTGCCCAATCTGCTAGTGGCAGAGGTAAACACTAAATTTCCTATATGGCAACATTTCCCAGGGCAATTAGCCAACTACCTGGTGACAGGTTGATTACATTGTACCACTTCTATTATGAAAGGGACAGCATTTTGTTCTTATTGGAATAGACAATGACTGTGGATACAGATTTGCTTTCCCTGCATGCAATGCTATTGTCAAAACTATCCATGGACTAGCAGAAGGCATTATTGATTGTCATGATATTCCACACAGCATTTCTTCTGATCAAGGAATCACCTCATAGCAAATGAAGTGCTGTGGGGTCTATGGAGAGGGCCTATGCTCATGAAATTCATTGGTCTTATTATGTGTTCTCCACCATACTACAGAAGCTGGCTTGACAGAACTGTAGAATGGCCATCTGAAGACAGTTACAGTGCCAGCGAGGTGGCAATACCTTGTAGAGCTAGGACAAGGTTTTCTAGGAGGCTGTGCATGCTGTCAATCAGCATGCAGTATATGGTGCTGTTTCTCTCAGCCAGGATGCATACGTTGAGGAATGAAGAGGTGGAAATGAGAGTGACACTGCTCACTATTACGCCTAGTGACCTATACCCAAACTTTTGCTTCCTGACTCCGAGATCATATGCTCTCCTATCCTAGAGATCTTAGTTCTAAAGAGAGGAATACTCCCACCAGGAGACACAACTATTCCGCTCAACCGGGAGTTAAGACTGCTACCCTGCCATTTGGGGCTCCCA